TCACCTTGGAAAATCAAATGTAAAGATTTCGGAGAAAAAAAATTAAATTTTCCATAATTTAGTATAACTAAATGCTTTATAGCCCCCAGAACTTTCTCCATTTTCAGTGTAATGTTTTTATATTTCCACAGATGTTCCAATAAATAGTAATGTATATTTTCTTGATGCTAATGATAGAGATAGAGAAGACACTGAGTCACGATCCATTTAACTCTTCACTGACCTGACACTGTGTGAATCAGAAAATGATCACAATAAATAAACATTCTAGGGCAGATGGACTTCGCCATCACTGAAGGGCAGTAGGCTCTACCTATAAATCAAAACCTTTTAAAAAATATTGATGTTTCTTTTATCTTAATTTTCTTCCTGAAGCTTTGAAAATACAGGCAACAGAATGAGCCTTTTTTGTTGTTTATTTAGGCTGGTTCCCATTGGATTTTAAGGAGGGAATCGGTTACAAAAGATAAGCAAGTCGTGCATTTTGTCTGGTGGAGCAGTGAAAAGGGACTTCTTACATTTTACTTGATAAACTGCCATTACATCATAGATTGGGTTGTAAGTTTTTTGGGCTCCAAGATTGATCGTTTTGAAAATATGATATTTTTCAAGGCACTACAGTTTCTTCTAAAAGTGAGAGACGGAGAAATGCATCATATGCCTTCTCAAATTCAATAACTTTGTTTACATAAGAAATAAGTGTCATCACATGGTGTATAAGTATTGACATATTTTTGTAGATAAGTATCTAATCTTTGTACCCTCAGGTCGTGCAAGGTCACAGAAACATTCAACACTGCATATAATTTACTAGATATAAATTTTAACACCTTGAGGAATTTGACGGGTATACAAAGCATTTCATCTTGCAGTATCACAGGATAATGTAAAAGGGATGACATAATTACTTGGTTGTCTTGGTAATTAACAGTATAGTTCAAAAGCTGTGGGCTTTTCTAGGATTGATGGCTATCATATCGCTGTATAATCACCTCCAGACGGTTATCATGTTGCATGGTATTTATGGACATGGGGGATCAGATATCTCTCTGGTTACCCTGGGATTTAGCACCCAGGAAACAAAACCATTTATCATCTCTTCTGAAGTCTCTATCTATTGCACATGTTGTACTACGTATTACTAACGTCTACTGTGGGGCAGTAGTGAGATTACTCAGGGTGGAATACTGAGTCACTGATGCATCTGTGATCTGTATGTCACTCTGAGGCTGAACACTTTCTACCACATTTTTTGTGATCTACTCTTGTGGTCTACCTTGGAGAATGTGTGCTCAGATTTCAAGATATATTTTGTTACTGTGTACTTCCTCTTTTAGTGTGACTTATGTCGGAGAATTCTGTGTGTTAAAAAAATGAGTGTATGTAGGTAGCAGAATTGAGAAATTGAATGACTTCACTTTTGACACATGCCTGTATTTTTCTTTAAGTGGTTTTGGACATTCTATACTTTGCACTTCAAGTTCAAGTCTTCACCACTGGAGGAAAATTAATATTTTATGATTGCCAGACTTTTGACATGAACCTGTAGAGGCAGAAAAAAAGGTCTAGAGATGTGTTATACATACAGTTTCTAAAGTTCATATTTTCAAAGGAGTTTCAGTGAAGCGATGAAGAAAGGAATGGTAGGGTAGCTGAAGGTGACTTTTGAGTGCTGAGAGAGTAAGATGTTACTGCAGTCTACAGGACGTCTACAGTAGAACTCGCTTAGATATTCCTGATGTACGTGTCTGTTTGTCTCTGACTGAATAAGCAACAGGGATCAAACACATAAGATTAGGGGATTAACAAGACACATTGTTTAGACAGATGTGTGCCTAGGAAAAAATCTGTTCCTCATCTTCCAAAGATTTGTTGTATACATTATTGTTGATGTATTGGAGTACCTAGTTGTGGCATTTTATGATGTGTTTGAGAGGATTAATTAATTTTCTTTAATGGAACTGTGGGAATTTGGGACGTGATTAATTATAACCGTACAGGTACATCATGATTCGTGAAGTTGAATTTGTCAGGTTTGTACTCCAATATTTAACACATTGATTTACTCCTAGAATTATTTTATCACAGATTTTTTATATTTCTTCGTTTCTGAAGGAAAAAAGTTATTGCATATTAAGTGTCATGATTGAAGTAACATTTTCCTGCAAGATTTCAATTATTGAGTTGATATTTTCCTTAAGATTTCAGTCAAGAGCATTATTACTATTTCTATGGGAAACAAAATCAGCCTCTGAAATGACGAGAGATCCTGGATTAATTCCTTTGCAATGATGATTTTATCTCAACTGAAGGAATTTTGATAGGTTGCTATCTGATAATGCCTTAATTCAAAAAAGTGTTCTGCCAACTCCAAAAAGAAACTTGGCAGACAAATGAATTTCCTGATTTCACTTTTAACATTTTAATGAATAATTTACTGAAACTTTTCTTAGCAAGTAAACATACCATGAATAATTTGATGACATTGATGAAAACCATTCTTTGGAATCTTTCAACACAATTACCTGATGTCGTTAGAGTTAAGTGAAGAAAAATTGGATGGATATTTTTGGATTTTTTTTAGTTAGAAATGTTTATATGTTACACAGTATCATACAAATTTGATATGTATAAGAAAATGCATGGTCTTCTTATTCATCTGTCTTTAGAATTTCATTTGCACACTAATGTAAACATTGAAAAATTTTGCCCAAGAGAGAGAGAGAGAGAATAAATTCATATGGTGTTATTGGATGATTTAAAATCATTTACATTCTAAAAATTTGAGAAAGGAAAAAAAAATAACAGAACAATGGAAACATTACCCAAATCTCAACGGATTTTGAAAGAAATCTTTGTCATTATTTACAGTAAAGCATGTAATAAACAAAGTGGTACAAAAAAATAAAAATAAAATGAAAGACAGATTTAAAAAAAATACATGATACAGTCAGAACAACTGTTACAAATATGGATAAAGTTATTGAACTGGGACAAAGGCCAGGAAGTTCTTGGCTATTCAGCATTGACACAGGCTCAAAACTGTAATTATCAACTTCCGACCCCTCTCAAACTTCTCGAATAATTGATAGATTGTGATGGAAGAAATATTAATTACATACAGAATATTATGAAAAAGGAGAGCAGTTTTGACATATTGATCATCCAAGGATAGGCACACAGATTTTAGATGCAGGGAATTCATGGTTTGTTGCACAAACTCTCCAAAAAATTATTTTGATCATATCTTGAGCAATAACAATGCAACTTAATGCACAATGATTTTGACCTGGATTTCATGAAATGCTAGATGCATGCATTGTAAGTAGATTCTCATTCTTTATAGTGGAAATTCAGTTTCAAAACTAGAACTTCTTTAGATGACCTTATAGAAGAGCATGGAACAGATACTTGCGTGTACTGTTACACTATTGTGGTAGGAAATACTGGGACACTGTTTTTTTTTGTATGTTATTAATTGATCTGCTTCTGTGAATAATTAAAGAATAGTCCCAGGAGACCTCTCACATGTGTATACAGAGATTAGGGAAATATGCTAGCTATGGTGCAATACATGAACCTGCTGCTGAAAGAATTCCATTATCTACACAAAAATCTGGAACCATCAAGTTAATTTAAAAGAAATGCTGTCTCAAATTGTCATGTTCATTAGCAAAATATTCCTGCAGTTGCTTTGATAAGACCAAATATTATGGTTCTGTTTGGATTCCGGAGATCTTTTACTGCATATTGGTTGTGTCATGGTTGTTGTTTTTGTAATGCAAGTTCAATGTAATTTATATCATGGCTGTTTTTTTAAATTACAAGTCAATGTTATGACTAAATAGTTTAAAAGTCTGTTGATGTTTGGTACCACATGTATACAGTTAAAGAGCCACTAGAAAGGACAGGAAAGAACTTCTTAGTCCAAAATTGTTATTCTGTCCATGAAGGGGATTAAGAATGGCTTATTATTCTGGTCAATTGGTGCTACCTTTTTGGACAACTAATATCAGCCCAGGTGCATAGTCCTACCTTTTAAGACAATGATCATGTACCCAGCAGATGGTAGGGTCATCTTTGTGTGTGGATGTTTACTCTAAAGAATCATTGAAGAAAGAAAAAATCTGTGAACAGAAAAAATCCAGGGACCATGCTTGCCTTGTGTTGTCGGACAATATCAGATTCCTGATCTAGTGACATTTCATTGAGAGTCCTGGAGAGCACCTGCCATTTTTTGTTTGGACGGAGCAGTTAAGATTCGATGTCGTTTAAACACTTGTTTGATTTGTGTCTGTTTGGATGTGTTTATGGGTGTTAAGATTTTACCTATGTCTACACTGAATTGTACACCGTAATCCTACATGCTTGATCGGGTATTGTTTGAGAAAAGGTCTGTCAATGATTTAAATTTTACTTTGGTAAAAACGGATGCACCAAGTACACTGATTGAGAAGCATTAGGATTGACTGAGGCAGCTATGAATTTGACTTGCATTTTTTGATGTATTTTTGTGGTCAGGATAAAGAAGTGTTTTGTATAGTGTAAAGAAATAACAAAAAGTTCTAAAGAGGTTATTAAAAGCCAGCACAAAGAAGACAAAATACCTGGATTATTATTTTACCTACACACTATTTAAAGTGCAAGGCTGCATGTGTCATTGAATGCCACAACAGTTCTCCAATGTTCACCAAGAGTCCGACATGCCTTCTCATTTGTCATTCAGTTTTTCCACTTGACTGGATTCATATCTACGTACCTTGTGTGTATTTATATATCAGTGAACTTTATGTGCAACTTTGTGACACTATTCCATTAACCACCTTTTGTCATTAATTAGGGAGGCTTGTTGCTAGTCCTGTGTATCAATAGGGCGATTACAGCCGGCTCAAATTTCAGTGATGAACTAGCAGTACCTTGTACATGGAAGGGTGTAATTGCACAAACTCTGATACATAATGTATACAGTCTGTCTTTATGTACTTGGGAGTTGCTGATTATGCTATATTGGTGAATTGACCAAGAGTATGAGAACAATTGCTCTGCAACAATGTGATTTTTTTGCTGTGCCAGGATTGAAATTGTTGCGAAAAAATCATCATGTTTTTCTACATTGTTGGCAATGCCAATGTATCAGGTAATGATAAGAATCAGGAGATTGATGAACAACAATCCAGACCTGTCCAGAAACAGCTGCTCGCTGTTAAAAGTCAACATTCTCCTCAAAAATGTTGTTTACCCAAACCAGAGTTGCCGAACCTGATGTGCAGTGGCCAAGAAAACCATGCATCACAATCACTGGGAATTCCACTAACTCCGGAGGCTGGCAGCTCTAGTGAAGTTGAAGAAGTTGAAGATTTGGACTTCCCTCAGTGGCAGGGTGTAGATGTTTGCTGTGGGGAGCAGTGTTCCCCTGAGTCTGACCTTGACAGAATGGATTATTTATGTGAACATAGGACTAGTGCTTCGGAAAAGTTAAATTCTTGTTGTTGTTTGTTAAAAAGTTTATCTAGTGATGCCAATGGAGCTGAAAATTTATGTGTTCAAAAAATGTATGAATCATCGTCTGGTAAACCAGTACGATATGCAACACGTGTGCATGCAGAATATGCCCCAAACAAAGTGCGACCAAAAAGTATGTGTTCTGTTGAACTAAATAGTGAAATGAGATCTCCTAGAATAAGGCCGGACATCAGGATAGAGAATGAGGATGGGGTCTGGCCCCTGTCAGACAGTGTTAACTTTGACAGGTATATTGTTGCAGAAATATTTTTTGGGTTTCATGTGGAACCTTGGGCAGATGAATAGAAATCTGTAGACTTGTTTAACAAGTTTGAATCAACAAATTATGTTCCTTTTGCTATCTATATATAGATTATTTTAATGGAGGCTTTCTAATGCTTTTATTAATAAGTATACTAACAAACATTGAAGTGATGTCGAAGTGACTGCTTATTTACTCATCTTGTTATCAAATGCTCTGAGTCTCTATAAAGTCATTTCATACTTCTTTGTCCCATGCCCAGTGCAGTATACCTATGTTAAATAAACCTTTTAATGATGTTGACAAGAGACACAGTGCTCTAATTTAAATGGAAATAGTCTATTAATGTTCTTAATGAAATGTATGAGGATCACTGACACATGGCCAAGTTCTATGCTGTCTGATCGAGAGATCAGTCAATTCGTCATAAGGATCTGTGATAGCCACAAATTTACGTATTCATTGCACATTATCATGTTCTTGCGTATTTTTTGTGCGTTTTTATACATTGACAAATAGTAACCTTTGTTCACTGTGTGACTCCAAAAATATCATAAACATGTACATGTTTTTTTGCAGTAGTTAATATTAAGTCAATTTCTTATGGTAATCAAAAATATATTTTCAAATGATAGAAATGTTTGATATTAAGTATTATAAAGTCAGCCGAATTTCATTTTGAATTCATGAATTTCGTACATTTCTGAATTTTGTATCAGCTATGATAAATAGAAAACTTCAGATGAATTTAGACTTGATGACCCACCATTTTAATTCAGAGAATTTTGCATATTTTACCATCTTTTCATGGTTAGTCTACCATATTTCAGCTAGAATGATGCCTGTAAAATTATAGCATTAAAAAGGTTTGTTAAACTGTGAAATATAATAGATACACCAAGATTTTAACAATTCTTGTCTACTTTCAGTTTTGGCAAGAGAACTCCAGGATGTACCCGTCGTGCCAGCGAATGTCTCATTCTGGAGCCATCAGAGATGATCGTTGTATGTATATCTGGGAAATATTAAGAAATTTTCTGTAATGAAATTACATTGGAAAAATATACTGATAATTTTCATTTATAATAATGTTGAAGTTAGTTTTGTATACATATTATATATGCTTACATTTTGGTGTACTGGAGATAATTTTTTATTGGCAAGAACTTAATTTTCACAGAATTAAGCGAGACCATCTGTTTGTGAACATATCATTCTTGCAAATACTGGTAATTTTATCAAAGATTATATAGAACAATAACCTAAATTCATGATTTTGTTTTGCTCATAAATACAAACAACAATCTCGTGAAAATAAGGTGTCACGAAAATTTAGTGATCTACAGTATGTAAGTTTGTTCAGTTAATGGGCACTTTTAAAAATGCATTTCACTGTTAGAACTTTATTACAAAATTTGAACAAGTGAGCAGTATAAGACATAATTATTGCTCTCTGACTTTGATGGTATGTAGAATTAGCATGTTAAAGGCGTATACTATGCCATCTATATGTAGGGAGGCTGACTGTTACATCACTGCTGGCACATTCTGCAGAGTTTATCACAGTTTTCAGGATTCTTTGTCATACAAGATTGTATTCTACACCAGCTTATTGCATTAAAACATTTTGTTATTTTTACTGGAAAAAAAATTCCTGAGACTATGGATAAGCTATGTTCTGCCTTGTTCTTTGCATCTTTAGGCGTGGAATATTCACTGCCAACGTTGTTTGTAACTGTGATTATTCAAATTAACATTCCAGTGAAGTGAAAAAAAAGGAATTTGAACTTATTAACTTTTTTTCTGATTGGTTGCCTTTTCTGATGTGTTTTATTATGACAAGGTATTAAAACAATTTATCCTCCCAAATTTGTCGGTGAAGTTGCCGATATTATTGATTTTTTTTTCTCTAATGGCAGCAATAAGATTTCTTGCTGATCATTTTGGAAATGGCCATTCTAAGTCACATTAATTGAGAGGATCATTATAATTTATGGATGAGGGTTATTATAAGCAATCAAGATTAAAGGGCAAAGAAAGTTTTTAAAAATTTTAATACCAAATTGAAAAGTATACATATAATTAAGCATTGAATCATTTTTTTTTTTGAAAGATATAGTCTCATAACTGCAACGGTGTGTGCGAACAAATTGAGTAAAATGAAAAAATGAAAATTTGTTTGCACACGCTGTTGCTGTTATGAGACTATATCTTTCAAAAAAATAATGATTCAGTGCTTATATTTACATTTTTTTTAACTCCTTGCCTTGACTGCAAATATGATTTATATTTCAAAATCCCAGTATTATTCTTCTTGTAAGTTATAATTAACGGAAGAGCCGTTTCAACAGCTTCTGTTCAATGTGAGCGTGAATTTTGATTTTCGCTTAAGACGTTGCACTTCCACGGCGTTCAACGTTTGTGACGTCAAAATAAAACGCATACTTTAACCTTTTGACCCCCTGTCCATGTTATGGTGTTTTGAATGCTGTAGCTTTCCTCACACTTTATAAGCAAAATACACATTGAATGTTTATATTTATTTATGAATACAACTGTGACCAAAAGAATATTGTATCTTTCAGAGGAGAAAAATGGGGTGGGTGAGGGGAAGTAAATTGTAAAAGAATAACCTGCAATACACACTACAATGCAGTCTTTGCATCCACAGTCATTAGTACTTAAAAAATTAACAAATCCAGAAAAGTTGAAATATTCAGCAGTAGAGTGGAGACATTGCTCTCTGCTGTTAGTCTGTTTATCTAGTCCATCCTTACAATCTGACAATTTCCTGATACGAGTTACACACATGAACGGATGTATCCCACTAAAGTCTGAAGTACTTGAGTAATTATTTTGTTATTTATTTTATGTTCATATATGTTTCAAAGCTTCAAAGTTTGCTAGTAATTGTTGTAAAATGTGTTGGATTTTTAGTGAGTGATTATATTCACTGCTGGAAATACTTACTGATGTAAAAGTTTTACTTTTATCAATGAGGAACTCTTAAAGGGTGTGAATTTTCACAAGTACAGGATTAAGGTAGTACATGTGACAAATTGATTTCTTCCTAAGTTAAAAATTCAATACCTAATTGAATAATTCATTCTTTCATATGTGTCGTCTTTGTCAAGTAGTTTGTGTTCTTTTCTGTACCTTTCTTTGGTTTAATTTGCTTCATCATTGACCCCTATCTCTATAGTACTTCTCTGTAGACATCATATCCACAGTTTTGTGAAAAAGGATATGGATGATACAGCGTGACTATGTGTGGTGGTATTAATTCATAGCTGCAAAATATGATGGAGTGATACTTACCACCCGTACGTCCAGTAGAGACTTCTACGTCCAGTTATATTTTGGGAAGCATTGGAATTTATTTTAAACTTGGGATTTTATATGTATAGTTCAGACACGAACATGGGAAACAGATTGCTGACTCAATTTCCTCTCGCACATTTCTCTCATTGTTAATCTCCATAGGACACAGAGAGAGTGTGACTGGATGGTGTAGTTAAAAGGTTTCACTGTGGATTCTGTTTTGTGGTGATTTGTGAATGGATATATTATTCATGGAATAATTTATTATTTCAAAAAGTGAAAAATGTTGTGGAAACTGTGTGATAAATGTGTGTCTCTGTTTTTGTAGATCGATTATCCTGATGTCCAGATTATGAAAAACAGCCGTAGTGGACAATGTAACAATGTCAACATCAATCGAATGTTTGATTTAGAACAAGAAGAATCCAAGTTACGAAAAATGCACTGTGATACAGCAGTGGAACAGGTATAAGTGTGATAAACTACACACAAAAATAAGTCAACTCAGCAGTTGTGTAGACAGAATTTATTATTGCACTTTATATCTAAAAGTTTGTAAAGTCCTCAAGTGCTACAATTCAGATTGATCGTTTCACCGTGTAAATGTTTGTATGAAGGAATGTACATGCTGATAAATGAAATGATTAAAACCAGTGAAGAAAATTGGAAACTTGGGATTTTCTGCTGAGTTAATTATATGTAGATTTAGTGGAAAAAATACATTTGTAAGAGTTCATAAAAGAAAAATTTCTAACTAATAAACTGAGGCTTGAAAATATACGTTGATAGAACATAGTCACTGAAAATCACATTGGAATAAAACAAAGTCAATGTAAATCACACTGGAATAGAACACAGTCAATGTAAATCAAATTGGAATAGGAAGTGAAGGGTAACTCAATACTTCATGTTTCTAATAATATATCTATGTTGAAAGAAGGAACATTTTATATAGAGCATTTGAATCCAAGCCAAGAATAATTTTTAAATTGAGCAAGGAAGACCTGTGTAATCTCTGAAATATTCCAAGCCAGTTAGTCTGTTTTCTTATTGGAGAAGCATATGTTTTATAGCTCCATTCCATGAGAATATCTTACAGTTATTTATTACTCATCTACACCCAAAATCTGCAGTTCTAGATTGATATATTAAAAAAAGTATTTTCCACAAATCAGCAAGGTTACATAAATGCACACTTTACCTAGTAATGGTAATATTTTATAAAAAATTAAGTTTTGTACTTTACCCTTTTACTACAAATTAAAATCAGGAAAATCATTTTAGCATAGAAGGTACAAGTTTCCAATTTGTTCTGTATTATTTTTTGTAGTAGAAGTGAAATATTCTCTGTAGTTCTGTAATAATAAAAACAAAATTCTTATTTTTTGGTCAATTAGGCTGCATATCGCATCAATCTTTGATAAATCCTTGCAATTCATTTGTCCTTGTAGCCTCCACCAGAATTCAAAAATGAAATGGTATACTCACGTAATGAAATACAAATAAAAAGAAGTTCTCGAGCGAGTGATACTTCCAGTGCATACTCCGGGTCAGACATGATGCAGTCGTCCATTGATGACCAGGAAAATCCAGATATGGACCTAACAGGGATGCCGGAGGGTTATGTCGACTCTGACGATGATGAGGACAAATTGTCTAACACTGAGGTATATTGAAGTAAACATTGGTAGTGACATGATATACAATAGTTACTAAGGTAAACAAAAGCAGACTCTGCAGATTAATAGCAGTTGTATATAACACATGGACTATGTTGGTGTTATATTTGAATGCCATTATAGTAGGAGGTATATTTATTATGTTGAGCATCAGATCATTAGACAGATGAAAGGATGCCTTAAGGTCAAGATCTAGTAAATGAAAAGTGCCTACAGATTTCTCAAATTTGAGAAATAAATTCCTTTAATGATGCTTTATAACTATAGCATGGTCAAATAAGGTGTATCGGGGCATAATTTGTAGATAAACAAGACGAAAAATCATATTTTAAACTGTCATTTTCAATGAAAATTCAAGGAAATCAGACACGAATATGGGAGTTTTTTCCATATCAGACAAATAAAAGGTATCCAGATTGCCTACAGTCTCTCAGAAAACGGTAATTTGCATGTTTTTAGTCTCTTCTTTAAAATCAAATCAAATTGAATACAGGTATCGGGATTAATTTTTACATGATTTCAAATTGAATTCCATGAAAGTAATTTATTTTCTACATAATTCTATTAGAGCCGTAAAGTACGGGAAAAATAAAGTTAAAATTGATTATGACGTCATAATGGATCTAGCACAAAAAAGACAGTCTAAAGTCATTTACTAGATCTTGACCTTAACTGACAGCAAATCTTGAAGATTTAGAGGATCTTTATAACATCCAAATTTAATATCTTTTTGTGATCACAAGACAGACATTGCAATTGAATAGAAAATTACATATTTTATGTCTTTAAAAAGCACAACTTTTGTCAGCAATCCTGACCAGGAAATCAGGTCAGATTAACAATTAATACAGAGTAATAAGTTACTATTCTATTGTTAACTTAAAGTATTGTTGACATAATGTTTGTGTCATGTAGAAGCTTGTTACCTCATGACAAATTTAGAGCACAGATAACTGATTATGTAAAACTCAGTGATCAGAGAAGTGATAAACTGACTGAGCATTCTGGGAAGTTTCCAAATAGTGCAAAGTTTAATTTCCATAAATTACAGGAAAGTGGGCTCCAATTCAATGAAGTCTTTCCAGGAAACACACACTTGTTTTATAGTACTTTTTCTGCATCATTTTATGATGCATACTGTGACTATATTTGATTTGCTTTGTGCATTATAAAGTACTTGAAGTATGCTCTGAAAAAAGCATGAAATGACGAATAGATAAATGCAGTTCACAATAAGCCTGTATGAGCAATATGATTACTTTTGCATCCACCCACCTGATTTTAACTTTTATTAAGTAGTTGTATTACATAGTATTAACTTCCTTCTACATGGGTAAGGAACAAAAGTGAGTCCTTGTATAAAATCTGCTAGGCACTTGAGCCCTCTAAATCTGAATATTTATCATATGCACCAATTACTTTTTATGTGATTTAACAGAATCTGCAGTATGAATAAATGACATGAAACCTCTGAACAAATGATTCAGAAGTAGGAAAAGGCAAAATTATCATAAAAAACATGTTTTTATGTCTTAAGTGATGATTTCCTTATGAGAAACAGCAGTGTTTTATGATTGATTGATTGATTGATTATTGATGGTATGTTTGATTATTGATTGATTGATTGAATATTGATGGTATGATTGATTATTGATGGTATGATTGATTGATTATATTGATGGTATGTTTCAGTCTATACGAGATTCAGTACAGGAATGTCTACAGAAAGAGCCAAAAGACAGAACAGAGGATGACATTGAGATACTTCTGGAATTCATACAGCACTTTAGGGTAGGGGGCTTATTTTATGGAAATTCAAGTCTTGGAAAAGATTTTAATCTTTTTTATTTATTAAAAAAAGAAAATTAAACAAACTAACTGAGAATGTTGGAAATACCTATTACCTAGATGTATTTAGTTGAATGAAACTATTTTTAGGCCTTTGCCAATTTGACACAACCTATCCGGCGTGAGTTGTGTGCGGTGATGGTGTTTGCCGTGATTGAGAAGAGAGGTACGGTTGTGATGAGGGACGGGGAGGAGCTGGACTCCTGGTCCGTCATTCTGAATGGTCAAGTGGAGATAATTCACTCAGATGGGTCAGCAGAATTCCTGCAGATGGGAGACAGGTGAGATAAGATGTCAAAAATAAGATATCAAAGGTCAATCCAACATTTTTTTTGCTGAATCCATTTCATAGTTACTGGTTTGTTTTACTGAGTAAAAGATGTACTGTTTACTAGGAAATTTTTCTGTTCCTTTGTCTCAATCTGGCTCATACTTCACCGACACTTTCCTCTAGATAAAGAGTTTACAGTAACTTTGCACCAAAATTTAGGTCATTGGTTAACGTCAAAACAGGCCTATGTGTAAAATCCTTGTCTGGAGTATATTTTCTTTCTTTTTGGCCCACTCTGGCTCATACTTCACCGACAGAGTACCCTTTGGTTAAAAATCTGTAGTGACCTTGATCTAGTTAAAAGAAGAAGGTCATTACAGGATTCTGTGTCAATTTCTTGTCCAGAGCATATTTCTGTCCATGTGGCCCAATATGTCTAAAGATTCACGTGTTAAGTGAAATTGAAATCTTGATTTTTATATTTTTTCTCAGCTTTGGGATTTCCCCAACCCTAGACAAGATGTACCACAAGGGAGAGATGCGGACATTGTTAGATGACTGTCAATTTGTCTGTATAGCTCAAGATGATTACCACAGGATCCTAGACAAGGTAAGCTCAGAAAAGATACTATCTCCACTAGTTTCCAGTTTCTAGTTTTTCATACGAGAGAAAAATTGATTTCTCTTTATGCAGCTTGTAGAATTGAGAAATGTGCATGTAATTGAAATATAACAGGGCAAAGAGAACACAGAGAAGCATGTTGAAGAAGGTCAGGTTGTGATGGTGACAGAACATAGGATATTTGACGGAGGAAACCGAAAAGGACAAATTGTCATCAGAGTAAGTGAAAGAAGAAAAAAGAAATCTCGATGATGCACTTAAAGGGAAGACCACAGAAATATATATCATACTCATGAGCATTATGTTTTTGTTATAGAAATTTGAAACCTACATGTATTATATGCTTTCTAATTGACTCTTTGGTATATTTGAAGTAGATGAACAGTGTTTCATAACTAAATTTAAAGATGAACTTTGTTTATCAAGACGTTGTTTATGTTATCTCAAATGACAAAGATTTTTCTGTGTTTTGTGTAAATAGGGCATATTCTTTATTTTTACACACCATGTACTCAGTACATCTTGATCAATGTCATAACATATTTACAGTTCACTCATAATATATAAAATATATTACATGTACTTGAAGATCATTGTTAACTTTCATTTAAGTCATTGTCATTTTAACAGTCAATCAGTACATTTTATATAAAGAATATTCTATAGATGTATTATGGTGAATCATTGTAGGGCACACCTGACCATCTAACACAACATTTAGTGCAGGAGCACTCAGCAGTTGATCCTTCCTATGTAGAAGATTTCCTACTTTGCTTTCGTGTCTTCATAAAAGATCATATGGACTTGGCAAACAAATTACAGAACTGGTTTGAGACACCAAGTTACAGGAATAAGGTCAGTAATGGGAGAAATTCCCTCTCTGATTTCAGGATTACTATAGCACCAAAAAGCTTGATAAATTCTATGTTCTATTGTTCTATAGGAAAAACATGTATTCAGTTTGTGCTCAAGTCTTGATATTAAATTTACAAAATATACACATATTATTTAAATAGTTTAATATGTGTGATATATTGATCCAATAAAAAGAAAGAAAGAAAGAAAAAGCATAAATACATGTATTCAAGCCACATATATTTGATTCTGAATGAAAAATGAACATAGTATATAGGAGGAAAATGCCTACTGTGGAATCATTTAAATTCGTGGGGGTCAATGTTCGTGGGCAAGCAAAATTTTATTGGTTCGTGGGGATGTAATTTCGTGGGCAGCTCGTTTATTTGGTAGATTTAATTAATCAGTACTTTGACAAAAAGAATTGTTCGTGGGGATGTAAATTTGTGGGTAAGTGTGACCCACGAAATCCACGAACATTAATCCCCAACGAACAATGATGATTCCACAGTATTCTATGGTATTTGCCATGACTTGTAATATGGAAGGCTGTGTTCTGTAGGTGACGAGGGTTGTTCTACTGTGGGTCAATAATCACTTTGTGGACTTTGAGACAGATGCTCCCCTCTGTGAGTTCCTGGAAAACTTTGAAGGCCTTCTAGAACGAGAAGTAAGTAACAACTAGAACACTGCCGCTATATGCAGAGAGGCAGCAGCTCTTTATACCTATTTATAGATTCTAGATATTGATGGAATTGTAAAGATTTTTTAAAGTTAGATGGTAGTTTTTACTCAAGTTATTTGTTGTAGCTCAGCATTGAAACAAGTAGAAAGATTAAAGCGGTGTGTATAGGCCTGAATTGATCTTTTTCATTCTCCTTGTTCAATGCATGATGTTTTTTTTTGTTTCTGTAAATTTCTTTTTTTTTCCAGTGTGGTTATTATTACATATGAAATGAAAACAATTATACTGGTTAACACAGAGAGAAGCTGAAACAAGTTCTATAATAAGAAATTATATAAAGGTTCTATTGCTTAAAAAATTGCTTTTGACAATTAAACACATTCTGTAGCTTATTAAAACTAAGATAAAAAACTTCTCTTATTTCTGCATTAGTATAACCAGCAAAAAAAAATTGACTAAGCTTTGCTGGAATTAATTAGTTTTATTTGAAAAGCATTTTTTGTCCTAGATTTTAAAAGTTGTTCACAATCGGAATATCTGACATTTCAACTGTTTCAGCTGTGTCTCCATTTTCTTGCATTGTACGCAAGAACAAATTCTCTGCAGGTGTTTTATGCACTTTACGTCTTTTAAGAGAAAGATGTTAGTAGTGTATGAGCATTCTCTGATAATAGAAGATAAGATCTGTGAAGCATTATATTCTAAAACAACTGTTACATTACTGCTTGATAAGAGCACTTGATATTAATCAGATTCCAACAACAAAAATGCATGCATGATGTACCTTGTACATAAATATGCTAGTGTCAGATATAATTCAACATTTATTGAAAAATATTACACTGCACCAACATCTGTCAGAAATATTTTAATTTGTTTTATTCAGCTATTATTCAGGAATACAAGACTTAGTAATGATAGCATTTCGAAACAAAGAAATATAGAGTTTTTTTTTATTTTTTTTTTTTTTATATAGTTACTGACTTTTAATCAACAATTTCTAACCATATGTAAATATTGATACATTAATGTTTAATTATGCATTGGGTTAGTAGAGATATTCAGTGGTTTATAAAATATGGTGGAGTTTTCTTGTATAAACAAATGTGAAGCACAGACAACATCATTTGTCGTATTATCATCATCACCTGTTAGAAAACAAAACTGTATGTCAGTCATTCAGAATCATTTAATATCAGATCATTTCTTGGACTTAATCAGAATGATGAAATCTTGGCATGAGTTATCTGTGCTTTGGTGTTTCTCTTCTGATATGTTCACTTAACCCTTTCTATATCCACTAACAGGAAATGTTTGGTCAGCTGAGGCTATTGAACATAGCTTGTGCTGCCAAAGCCCGATCCAGAACTATCACATTAACCAGAGCTACGAGAGAGGAGGTGTTACACTTTTCTGTCCTCGGGGGACAGGAAAGGGGCTTTGGTATTTTTATTTCCAAAGTAGAAAAGGGCTCCAAAGCTTATGAGGCTGGCCTCAAAAGGGGAGACCAGGTAATCTATTCTGAAGGTTCTGTCAAGCTTGGCTTCTTACAGAAGGGATTCTCTACAACTAAATCTGAAGGGATTATTCTGATATGTGTCAGACAGAGGTTGTAACATTCATGTACGTGTAGTCCGTGTATCATGTGAATTGGCCATAAAAAGATCTCGTATTATTTAAAAAGATTTATTCAGAATTTGACATACATGTACAAGTATTAGCATTTGTAATGATTTTATAACGGATTGGTAAAAATGCAAATATTGGCCTTTTTTTAAGGATATAATTCTACTCTGGTATACAGCTATTTGTTTATTATGCTTTTAGAAGCCAAGCTTGATTACCTGTTCAGAATTGGGGCTTTTTTACTTTTCTTGTCTTCATTCAAACTAAGAAAATTTAATCACTATAAAGCATTTAGTAACAACTAAATATGAAGAGTCCCTGATTTATGTCATTCATTAATATTCATTTCATATGCATTTCATTAATTGCAATATCAGATCCCATGTACAATATTTATCTGGAAGACTTATTTATCACCTAATTGTATTCTAATTCACCGCATTACACCCCCTTATATATTTCTTTCCACAGCAGCCCTCCAGCATCAGGCATATATGTTTACATGAATATACAAATTTCATTTTTTGATTGCTACAGATTTTAGAAGTAAATGGCGCCAGTCTGAATAATGTCTCCCACAACCGTGCACTGGAGTTACTAAGGGGAACAACTCATCTCTCTCTCAATGTCAAGTGTAATCTCCTGGGTATGTCCCTGTTTATAAATGTAATTTATCATGAATATATTTATAAAGGTAATGTGTTTGTACTAATGTATTACTGCTGGGAAATTGGAGGATATTGTCTTCAAGTAAGGACAAAAATGGTGCCCATTCTTCATACTTTATTGTTTGACTTTGAATCTGACTTTATGCTTAAAATTATATCACTATTTTCATCTCTGATATTAGACTTTAAGGAGCTGTTAGAAGTCCCGGACAAGAGACAAAGTAAGGAAGATACGCCGGCGCTAAGTAAACGGTCCTCCACAGGGGACCTAGAGTCCAAGACCCCAAAGAGTGAGAAGAAGGAGAAAAGGGACAAGAAAAAGTTCTACACACTCGGCAAACATAATGTGTTCAATTACATAGGAGGGAAAATTCTGTCAAAAATGCCTTCCTCAACTAGTCTGGTAACTAAGTAAGTATCAGTTAGGATACTTTTAGTCATTGTATTTAAGTATTGTAGAAGGAAATGAAATGTTTAGATTTTAAGTAGGGTGTATTTTTCTGTTTCATTAAAAACTTGTCCCTTCCTTCCCAATATCATACTGAAATATGTATTGAGATTTGTGTTATAATTTAACAGTGAAAACCTGAATAGGTCAGATGAGAGTCTGTACAAGGGTTCATCTCGAAGTCGGTTGCCGTCCGTTAACTCTTTGTCCACTCTCGGTCTTCAATCACAACCTCTCAGTGCCAGTAACCCTGACCTTTCTGCACTCTCAGTGGAGGAGAATGTTAAGGAATACCCTGACATGGTTGTCAAGGTGTACAAAGCGGACCAAACTTTTAAATTTTTGGCCATCACTAAGGTACTTAAATAACCTTTAAACTGTAGCTTTGAAACATAAACAAGAAGACTAAGTTTTCAGAGGGAAAGCTGTGTAATATTTAGGGAGGTGTTTACAAATCTTTCTGATGCTTGAAATTTTTTCCAGGACACTAATGCAAGACAGGTAGTTTTGCAAGCACTGCAGGAGTTTGGAATTACAGAACCAAGCAGGTATTGAAAATAAGTTGATGTCCATAATATGCTAAACTCTATATAATGTGTATACATCTTGTGTGTAAGTGATTCAAAGTAAAATTGTTCAGTAAATATATATAGCAAATTCAGTGGTTCTTATATGAATATATTAATGTAGCAAACTGTTTTATACCTTTAGCAATTATTCCCTCTGTGAGGTGACAGTAGAGAACGAGAACTTGGTCAAACAGAAGCGATTGCCAGACTCCATGGCTAATCTTCCAGACAGGGCCAACTTAAATGGAAGGTAACCAGCCGCCTTTACTAACCAGTATATACAATATTCATAGCTAGCTTTCTGTGTAGACAAGAAAACATTGTGGGTACTTGTATTATTTTATGTAGTTATCAGTTTCTATGACCACAGTCCCCCCTTTTATTTGGATTGCTTTTTACATTTTGAAGTTTTAACACAAGTGACTAATTTTTTGTTGCTTCACGCAGGGTATTTTGTTTTATAAGTGAACTAAAAGTTAGTGTAGTTTTAAGTAAATATACCATCTGTTAGTTGGAGTTTGCTACAAGAGAAAGAAAGTTTTTTTATTAATTTGCGTTTTATGTTAACATTGTGTTAGGGCTGCTCAGTAATATCAATTTTCCGGTATATTGCGATTCATTAACAAAAAAATCTTATATTGCAATATGTTTTTCAAGTACCAATATACCGGCAAACTGCTTAAGCTTTAGATTTCTTAAGTAAAATATGAAATTTGATATGTCAAGAAATGTTTTCAATCATTCCAAACAGTACCAAATGGTAAGGTTGCTGTTTCATGGTTGCATTTCATTCCAAAACTGTAGTGAAATCAACAAATTTTTTTTTTGCAACAATGTATTTTGTAATAGTTTTACACATGTTGCTTAGAGATGGAGGTTAAATAAGAAAAAGAGCATTTTAACTGTCATTGAAAATATTGCAATACATATCGCAATACAGTTAAAAATATCACAATATATCGCAGTACGAAATTCCCAGCCGATACCCAGCCCTACATTGTGTTGATGGTATTAAAATTAGTAATGCATTATAACAAAAATTTATAGTGTTAGATAGAATTAGTCAGTTCTAACCATTTAAGCTAGATTAGATCCCTTCTTTTTCTGACTTTCTATATAAGCATGCAGTCGGGCCCCTCATAATCCAGTGTCATCATTTGGTAGATGAATAACATTTTTAAATACAGATATTTTATAGTTTTGCATGGTGTAGAAGTTTTCTTTTCTTTTTTTCAATATTTTTTTTTTATTATACCACCTTTATTATCTTTTATATGGTAAATGATATCCAAGATTGATGCATGTAATGTTAAATATATGTGAGAAGTTTATGATTGTCATGGTTACAGATACGATGATAGATAACTTGTTCTTTGTATTATTCCTATATTTCCATTGTATATATGATGTGTCATCTATTTTACCTGACTTTGTAAGTAACTCCAGTAAACCCCTGGTTTGCCTGTGCACTTTTTCTTTTCAAATGTTGTCAAAATTTGGTGTTAACGTACTTGGATTGTAGATTTTCCTCCACCAGTTGTGGTATTGTCTTTGTGTATTTGATAGTCACCAATGCTAAACACTAAACAACTATATGAACATATATAAATGCATATGTTAACCGTTATACATTTATTGAACAACTTCTTATCTATTTGGGAGGGCAACAAAAGTAATTCATCCTGTAAAAAGTTTGCTTCTTAATTATCAGCTTACTTAAGAATTATCACTGTATTGATGGAAAAAGATAATATGCATTTATTAATACACATAAATTCAGCTCTAAGGTACATGTTTGTTTAATAGAATTGTTACAAGTACTGAGCTCAGAAATTTTTTTCAAAATTAAACCAAATAAAGGAATTTTCAAAAATTTTAAGATAGAGGTAGAGAGCTCAGGAGAGAGAAAAAAAAGAAGAAAAATGAAATAAAGGAATATTACAAATACCACAAAGGGATGGGAAATTGATATATGAATACTAATTATGGAATGGTTACTAGCATGTCAAGAGGTCAGGGGTCAGGGTCAAGGTTGTGTAGAACTCACTTGGGATTAATGTGGGCCTGGCTTACCCTATGCAATGACTTTAACGCAACTCTCTAACCATGTATGCCTTGGCTTTGCTTGCTAATAATACATATTATTTCTCACTCTGCTCTTACATGTATTACTGTATATACTCAACCATAAATATTGATCAATAAATTTAGCTGAAATTTTTTAAATTAAAAAAAAAAATACTTGGTAAAATTTGCTTTTGATCTGACTGTAAGTCAGTACATATTTTTGCAAGTGTTGAGCAGCAGGTTTCATCAGAAAAATCTTGTTTTGCAATTATGAAATTGCTACAAAAATGTCTAATTTTTTAGTTGTAAATTGTCTTTCCATGGTATGTTTTCATACAGTCTGTATTGCATTTGAATCCTTTATTATCATTATGATAATAAACTTTAAGTTCCATTCATTACATTATAATACATCAAATTGTAAGTACATGTAGCTGGTTCTGCTCCATTTGCTTTGATTTCCTAATTTTTCAAATACATGTAATATAAACACTAGTTTGTGTGATTCTTATTATTTTTGAGACTCAAATACAAGTAAATAATGCCTGTAAATTGGTCTTTTGGAACATTTTTGACTCTAAAAAATCCAGCCCATAGTCTTTGTGTATATACAGTATCTTTGACAATTTCAGATGTCAGTATCCGCTGTTACCATAGCGTTACACTTTGATTGTAATATTCAGTGCATGTAAAATTTACAGTATAGAATGCTTGAAACTCTTCTTCTAAATTATAAACTTTTTATTGATGACAATTTTTAAAAGTTATTGTGCATAGCTTACAAAATAATGATTAATGATAAAACTGGCACTTAGGCTGTAGATACAGAGTGAGTATTGCAGTGTGTAGTTGGATGATCTTGTTGTGAATGACCTTGTTTATTTTCCCTGCAGTGAGTGTAGATTCCCTGTGTGCCAAAAATCTTAGTAACCTTTGTCACTGTTGTCATAGATTCTGAGATTTTTTGTTCTTGCAGATGCTTTTAGACGACATTTATTTAAATTCAACCTAATCAAAGAAGAGAATGATTTTACTAATTTTAAAAAAATGGGAAAAAAAACTATACACAGTTGTTAGTTGATGTCAGTATTTACTCAAGAACCTGCAGACCAGATCACATATTTAAAACCAAAATTAGTTTCTCCAAAAAAAAAAATGATAGTATGTCAGATAATGCAGAGATAGACATATGTGAAGTATGCCTTTGTTGGACTGCAGAATTCCTTGTAATCCTGATACTGTGACTGGTCAGTTGGTCCTAGCTGGGCTGTGTAGTGACTTGACATGCACTAACCATTTTGTTACTAACCCAGTATTTTGACAACATTCGTGCCAGGTCTCGGTGGTCCAGGGGTTTAATTATCTTGTTTGTTTTTTGACCACTCACCCAGGCGTACTGTTCCATGTGTACTCAGGTATTACCTTAAGAACAATATGAACACGGAGACGCTGGTACCAGACGAGTTACGTGGAGAACTGATAAAGGAGGCACAGATAAGTCTGCTTCAGCTCCACACCACTGAGGTGGCATCACAGCTCACCCTGGACGACTTCAAGGTCTTTAAGAGTATAGAACCTACAGAGTACATCGACAACTTGTTTGGTCTTAAGTCTAAGTATGGTACACCTAATCTACAGAAATTTACAGAGGTTAGTATTACCATCATTAGGTCATCAGTTATTTCTTATCATTTAAGTCCTGAACATAAAAAAAATAAAGGCTTTATGGTATGCATACAGTATGTGTATCTAGTTTTTACCTTTGATTATCCATAAGAAATGTAATCGCATTCATAGTTCCTATACTTCCAGTCACCTAAATATTGTACAGATATGTTTTAGGTGTACACACACTGTTTCTTGTTCTAGCTTATCAATAAGGAGATGTACTGGGTAGTCACTGAAGTATGTGGAGAACTCAATGTTGTCAAGAGAATGAGAATGATAAAACAGTTCATCAAAATAGCAAGTAAGATTAGTTAGCACAGTTGCTTGATCAAAACGAGAGCTCTACTTTAAGTTTTAATTAAGTGTAAAGAATTGTTTTGAACCAAAAATAATTGAAAATTTAAAAATAAAAAGATTAACAAAATTCTTTTGTTGTTTTTATTTCAGAACACTGTAAAGACTGCAAGAATTTTAATTCCATGTTTTCAATATTAAGTGGCCTTGATAAAATATATGTCTCAAGATTACGCAACACCTGGGAGAAATTACCCAGCAAATATGTAAAGATGTATGAGGTAGGTAAACTGTTAAATAATAACATACTGTTATCTGTAGGTACATTTTTAATACTATTTTTAACCACTGTGTTCTGTTTAAATGCTTAATTTTAGAAGAATTCTGGTAAAATTTACATTATTTGAATTTTCTTTTATTGTGTTTTAGGACTTAAAAGAATTGATTGACCCTTCAAAGAACATGTCCAAGTACAGAAGTTATGTCAGTAGTGACCATGTCCAGCCACCAATGGTAAGAGTGTGGCAAGGATCAGCTCATTATATCTGTTAATGAATTTGAATAATACATTTTAATTTTGTTTATTTTAACAATGTTTATCCTAGTATTTCAACGACTGATTTTCTGAAAAAGAGATTGAACAAACAAGCCTTATAGGTGTATTATGCGGAAAAAAGGAAATCACATTGATATGTAATATGAAAAAAAAATGGAATGTATATATCAGTATATGATCCTTACCTGGATGGCATATATGAACCATTTACAAATTTGACAAAATTCACAGATGACACTTTATAAAGGTTATAATTTTACTGGAAAAAAAATTCTTTTTTAGTTGCCATTATTTCCTATTGCAATGAAAGACCTAACTTTCCTGAAAGATGGCAATGATACAAAAGTGGATGGACTTATCAACTTTGAAAAATTCAGAATGATAGCCAAAGAAGTTCGCAACCTTTGCAATATGTGTTCAGCTAAATATGTAAGTTCATTCTCACTTGCCTACAGGTATTTAAATTACATGTAAATACATTGAATAATTTCTGCATTTTTGTTTTCTTGAATGTTGACAACAGATCTTTTTGAATCATGAAAAAGTTGTTTAGAAATTATATGTGACATCATCATTGCTGCATGAGTGTACTCTTTCCCAGGATGTAAATACAATGTTCCTTGGCACACAAAGTATGTATGAGAGTTCTTGGATAATGGGAATGGCAACCATGAAAAGAGGGAAGAATCGCCGAGGGTCTACCCTCCCCAATGCTAAGAAAATGTATGAGGAGGCCCAGATGGTGAGACGAGTTAAGTCTTACCTCAGTAACATGAAGGTCATCTATGACGAGGACAAACTACGAGAAATGTCCTACCAGTGTGAACCACCCGAGAACAAAGGTGTGTGAGAAGGGGGCTTATTCATATATTCTGTTTTAATGAATAAGCAAGCCACAGTGATTTCCATTCAAAGATTTTTCTTTTAGACTGAAAATGTAATAAAGTTAAATTTGATGCTTTCAGCAAAGAGAACTGAACATAATCCAAGTGTTCCTAATGTAAGCATTACAACTAAGGAAGAAAAAACTACTGCTGTACCAACAGGTCCAAAATTTGGTAAGAACAAGGTCTTTTATTCAGTCTCATACTATATGATCACAGAATTTTATATTTCTCTGTTATATCTTTTTTTTTTTTATTTATAATTCTGTCTAATTTTCTTTGTTTTTCTACTTTTCTCACTTTGATATGAAATTATAAAATTGTCTCCTACACTTGTAATGCATATTTAATTTAATGAATTGAATATGTCTGTCTAACTAAGTAATACATTTGGCTAGCTTGTTTTGTATCAATTCTTGTTACATTTTTAGCTTTTCCCCAGGTTTTCTTTGTTTGTCTATTGTATCGTTTAGTTTGTTATGTTCTCATTACAATAACGTCATCACTAACGCTTTCCCTATGCAATATAAAACTCTTCTGCATGAATCTTGAGGTGTATTTCTTTTGCCGTTAGGTGCTGAATCTCCACAGGCAATCCAGAAACTGATGGGATTGTCCGCGTCTGTTAAACCTCATAAATCACATTATCCCCTCCCCCCTGCTCCGTCAGGGGTAACCAGTCCGTCCCTTAGTTCAGGGCGACGACCACCCACATCGCCCCGTCATTCTGCGGCCTTAAGGTCCCATCCAGTTCACCTGTCACCCGAGAGTTCATCTGTCGTCAGTCTTAGTAATATAGCTTACCGCAGACCCAAACGTACGGGTAAGATAGCACCTTGTCCTTCTAATTCAGTTGTGTTAGAAAACAAAATGAGGTGGTGGAGTTTATTTTTGTTTTAACAATCATCATTTAGTTACCTTTTGTCTTGTTATTTCTTATGAATGCAGTATTTTTTATGTTACAAACCTTCCCTTTGTATTTTCTTTGCATGCTTCTCATTATAAGTTTGAACAACACTCTTACAGAAAACCACGATAGCCTGAAGTATGGAATATATGGCTGCTTTATTTAAATATACATGTATTTGTAACACTTGTAGTTTTTGGTTTGACCATTAGTATATGATATCAAATGATAATTGCCTAGTTTAAGCATTTGTACAAGCTTGAGCTTAAAAATAATTTTTTCCTAATTGTTTAGGGTCACAAACTTCCCAAACATCCTTGACGTCAAATGAGTCAAGTTCAACAGACAACACACAAACCAGCCATGGTTCTCATCCGCAGTATGCTCGGTTGTCCCATAATCAGCACGAATCACCAGATTCTGCCCGACACAGCATGATCTCTACCAGCTATGATACTCAAAGCACCAACTCAGTGGGGTCAAATAACAGCTCGTCCTCAACTCACTCACCGCCGCCACATTACCGACGCCATGGACCCCAAACTGGTCAGTATTAAGAGCTTAGTGGCTACTTGTAGCTTGGCATTTGTTATTATGGGGCTCACATAAAAGAAAATAATTTAAAAAAATAAACTCTAACAGGGGTTGCAAACTGCATGAGGTGCAATTCAAAGTCATATAGTATGTGGGATGGGATAATAATTGTTACATATTAAATTCTATGGCATGTATGAATGTGTGGAAAAAAAATAATGCTGAAGATAAGAACTTTAAAGAATATGGTCATTTGTCTTAAATTAAGAGCCTCTTTGGTCCAACAAGCACCTGTCTCCTATCAATGCAATGTCATGTAGTGTTCTCTGTTTACAAGTAGATTGTTTGATTTAAACCTGTTGTGTTAGAAAGCTGTGTGTTGGTGGTGGTGTATTTGTGTTCTTTCTCCTGACAATATCTATTTTGTTAATAAATGGTTTCATAAACAATATGAAAATTTGATAAATTAGTCATCTAGGAATGACCCTAAAAGCTTCAGTATATTAAAAAAAAAAAGAAAACTCATTTCAAAACCAGTAATTTTATTTGGGACATCTAATTCCAAATACTATACCTCTCAAACTCCAATGTATTTGTGTAGTGTATAGCACACTCTCTTGTTCCCCTCTTCCTCTGCTTGGCTACCAGATCTGCTACTGTGGCATAGTTTCTATGGCTGACTATGATCTCTGGCCCCTATGTTTGATGTATGTATTCTCTTGCAGCACCGCCCTTCCTTCATCAACATAGTACTCCACCTCTTCCCCAGGCTAGGGCGAGACCACCATTACCGCCCTATAATGTTGTCATGCAAAATTCACCAGGTGAGATAAGTGTGTCGTGTATTAATACCAGTGTTAATCACCGTGTATAACACATGCAATTCTAATTAGAAATTCATCCAGTTCATCCACAGAAATTATTTATTCTCATGTCCATTTCATCGGATGTGATATTGATTTAGATACCCCTTTAGCATAAATAGAGGAAATAGCATCCCTTGTAAGGAAAAGAAAAAGTGAACTGATGAGCCAGGTGTATCAATATCGCATGAGAACATCATGTCCATCCCACACTACATACCATAGTTCTGCACGTCATCTATGCTTGTATTAATCTAGGGCTGTTAGCTGCTATTTCTGTATTTTAACACATTAGTCCAACACTGGACCCAACTTTATCTTCTTGCAAAAGGTTTATGACATGGTAACACTTAGAAAAGGGTGGGGGATTTTTTCAAATTTCAGATAAAGTTGGGTTCTTAAAACTCTTGATTTTCTTGTCTGCTGTGTCTGAAATGCAGTAGTGTGTGATTGATTCTCTTTTTCTGTCTAAATATTTCAACTTTTTTCCTGAATGAAATTGATTTCTTATTACATGACAATGAAAATATTTCCTGAATGAAATTGATTTCATATTACATGACATTAAAAAAAAAATGAGAAAAAAACAACTCTCTGAAATAAATTGAAAAATTATTCTTTGATATGAATTATACTTTAGGCATGTATTCATATGATACTCTGAATTAAATATTCTTGCTTGTAAATACTCTTGTATGGAAATCTTGAATGCTCATACAAACGTCATTTATCCTTCTGCCTTCCTCGACAGCCTATAGCCACATTATCCATCAAACGTACACTAAAGTCCGCAGACCGCCCCTGCCTGACTACCAATCTGCTACCCACATGGCCCAACTAGCTCGCCAGAAGCAATATTGGCAGATGGACCGATCTCATTCACATGAAGGGGTTGTAGGATACTGCAATGGGCAGGCACCTTATTACCAAGTCTCAGATGATGGTAGGTTACCATTCCCATATTCCCCTCAAATCAGTGGATGCCAAAAGTGTGTCAGAACAAGGGAATCATCTTGTTTTATGGTTTCAACACAGCAAGAATTCACTGTTAGACAGTATGATAAGTTTAATTTTGGAAAATGAAATCATTTGTTAACAAACATTTTTGCTTGCCCCCCTTTGTTTTGGTAACATGTCTTACTATTCCGGTGTTGTTCTCCATGTTTTTGTTTGGACTAGTTTCCCTTTCGTCCTTTGTTAGCATGAATTGTTTTGAAGTTTCTTAAGAAAGTTGAAGAGTTATAATTTGATTCTAACATCAGCAACTCATACTTGTATCACTGTATTTAGAAAACATAATTCAAGTTTCACATCTGCTATATTATGTTACATAAACAATATCCCTGTTATATCAACCAGTATAATAAAATATGACATTATAGATCCTATATATATTTTATATTACATACAATGTACAATATATTGTATTACACTTTAATACTGAAATCCTCAAGGATAAGAATTGACCAGGTGACAATTTCTGAAACAATTATCCACAAAAAGTTATTAAAAATCTCTTTCAGTATTAATATAGAACTGAAATTTATTCCCATTTTGAAATATTTAGGTGATGTAAATTTTGATATAAAATGAAATATAAGTGATGTAGAGCTAATTTTAAATAAGGATTCTCTTTGTTTTCATGCAGAAGAAGAGGAACAGGTGTCTGCAGTTTGAAGAGACTTTCCTACAGAAAGATAGAACTGTTCTCCTGGCCTTAGAAAGGTCTACAACCTCCCCGCATGTCTGTCAGTCATTACTGACAGGAAGGGGCATGTACAAACAGGAAGGGGCATAGCCCCATCTAAAGTGCAATTCTTCCTGCTCATCTGTGATAGTCAAAAAAAACTTATAATCCTCATTAATGTGGGGAAAATTGTTGGTGCAAGGGAACTTCTTGTGCAAACACTAGTGCAATTTGACACAAAATTGGCAATGCGATGCATGTGTATTAGTGGCAGTATTAATCTGACGAAGATCTGACTCTGTGCAAACTGATCTGAAATCATCCAGCCATGTGCTGGTCTGTGTATATGTGTTCAGACCAAGGGACATTTGATGATGGTACTTCCTACATACAATTATAGTGCTATACCATGATCATAGAGTGAACTGTGCCATTACATCAAATAAAGAGCTTCCTTATTTTCCAAGGAACTGGACTCCAGAATTATTCATATATGTATTTGTATACCAAAGATTTAGTCACCATTTTACTCATTTTGTTTAAAAATGGCAAGAACCATATTGAATTATTTTAATATCATCATTATAATAATTATTTTTCATTCAAAGTAAAAGTTTATTCATGTTTAATTTATTGGATGTATAAACAATATTGTTTCTTTTTATTTCAGATTGTCTATTATGTACACACCTCATCCCATAAAACACAAAATTTAAATATATGGATAAAATAGGCTTGCAGCAATTATTAAATCCAAGTTTGTTTTAAAACTGCTAAATTTTATAAGTACATACATCTGTACATGCATGTACAATTACCTTAACGATTTACTATGAAATTGTCAACTTCATACATATACTATGCATTTGTTTTATTTTAATTTCTGAAACCAGAGAAACCAACAAACAACAAGCAATTAAATGTTCTATAAATGCTACAACAACTGCGGGATAGACACGGTTTGTTATTATCCTGATATGGCTTTTCTGCTGTTAAGTTTCTTTTTTTAAGGTTCATAACTATCTGATAAGAGAGATAACTTTATCTGAAAATAATTGATTATTATAACCTTATAAAATTTTGAAGTTTGGCAAAATTTTAAATGAATAAACCGAGGGATGATGAACCTTAAATCTTTTGAGATACATTATTGTTTGCTTTGGTGCCAATTGGCGGGGGGGGGGGGGGGGGGGGGGGGGGGGGGGGGGGGGGGGTGAAAGATTGCATGTTATCTGTCATTAAAGTAATATTTTGGGAAAGCTATTTAGTATTTACATAGGTCATCATTGCATAGATTTAACTTATTCCTTTATTTGAACTTTTTTAAACCAATCATTTTAGACAGACATTTATTTTTGTGGTTATAAAGTACTAATACTGCTAAAATCTATTTCTATGGATGTAATAAACTTAAAGTCATACTTTATATTACCCTTATTCTGGTGTATATGCATCAGATGAGAATTATAGAAAAATGAAGAATATTAAGAAGTTGTTTTAGTAAAACATTTTCTGTTTCATCCAAGGTACTAGACAGAGTAATATGTATTTCAGTATTATGTTTGTTTACAGAAGCTTAAATGTCTGACACTGCCAAATCTTTACCAACAGGACCTGAGTGTCCTGGTACCAGTTTTATTACAGAAGTGACATATAAATTAGATTGTTTTGTTAAATAAATAGAGGTAAAATCTATCATTTTTTCCTTCAAGAAATGTTAAGAAATATTTTTTTTCTTTGCTCTGGCCTAACATCATTTTTGGTGTCTGTGAAAATACTATTCATTTAAAAAAGAATTTAATGCTATAAAATATCTCTATTTTGAATGTTTATTTTAGAGAAAGTTGCAAATGTTAATTTAGTTTTGCATCTTTTAATATTAAGACTGTAACCAGTCTAAAATTTGCTGTGTCAAGTAGACACAAGATACACTTCATTTATAAAACCAAATCACATTTTGAATTCAGGGAGCTGTGACATAAATTATAAAGATTTTGTTGAGGATGATGTACAGTGAAATAGTATTAACAACGAAGTCACAAAATATTTTAATGATCATGCATCCTGTATATAATTTACTTATTGCCAAGAAAAGAAATAAAATTATTAAAACCATAAATTTCAAGCTTGATTTGAATTGATTTGTATTTCTACAGTTTTGAATATATATGGAGCAATATAGTATTATTTTAAAAATTCTCATTCCTGCCCAGACCATCTGTGAATCCATTTTGGTCTTAGTAACAGGCCCATAGAATGCAGCCCCTCCCTCATGTATAAACTAAGATAGTATGACAACGTTTTGGTTAAAATAATAGAAATTACTAATGGAGTAGGTAAAAATGCCTATTTAATGCGCTCTTTTTATTTGCTCCTTGCACCCCCCTCCCCCCCCCCCCCCCCCCCCCCCACAACACACACACTGGCAAATTCCAGCATTTGAAGAAAAAAATGTTTCGAAAACTTAGAGAAAGGTCTAATCCCCCTCTCAACAAAGGATTTTCGAGTTGGGAAATTAACAGTTTTTTTGGTCAATTTTTTTTTTTGACGTTGCCCCCTCTCCACTTTGTAAAAGGTTGCTATGGGAGGGGTATCCCCCTCCCATTAGGGGAGTTAGGGAGGCCTCCCCGAGAAATTTATGTAAAAAATGGCTGCAAATGGTGCATTTTCCAGCAATTTAGATCGAACCTGTAGGTTTTTTTTTCCAGCTTCTACTATACATGCATAAAAGTTTTTCCAAAATTCATTATACAAAGTTGTAATCGTTTACTGTTTTTACTAAACATCATTCAATAGTTATTATTTTTTATTATTTGTAGATCTGTTGTTTTTAACAAGTTTATGACATTGCAACTTCCATCTACATAAGTTACTTTAGAGGATGACCATTTGATTGGGGGGGGGGGGGGGGTGGTGGCAGATTTTGAAAATAAATAATTTGTCGTCGAAAATATTGAAAATAAATAACCTGTCCTCAACTGGTAATTAGAAAATAAATAATCTGTCCTTGACTGGTTCTTCTATCCACCACCCCCACGAAATAGATTTTTTTGAGTCTGGGTGTTTTGCTTTTGCTTTTCAAACTTTTTCAGTGAGGAAGAAAATAAACACCTGTCCTTGATCATGTTGAAAATAATTTATCCTTGACTGGCATGAAAATAAATAATATGACTCGAAAAATTTTGCCAGCCCCCCCCCCCCTCCCGTATCAAATGTTCGTTTCCTTAACTTTCCTTAAACTTTACCATTTTTTGGTATAAAGATCACAACGGTAAACCATCACGATTGGGGGTCTGCTTTCTTTACTTTCCCAACAGTAAACCCAGTCTGATTGTGAAATTATTGTAAGCAAAATAAAATCATAATTTATTCATGTAGTTTAATAATTTAAAGTTAAAAACAATTATCAGAAAAATTGCTTAATTGTTTTATTACTTTAAGAATATTACTTTAAGGAGGTTCGATCCTGAGTTTTTGAACAGATTTTTGTCTGGACCTTTATTTCTAATGCCCTGTTCACACGGAGAGTTTAATTCGCAGTAAATTAATGCGAAGTAAACTAATGCGAATTAAACTAATGAGAATTAAATTGCGTTCACACGACAGCTAATGCGAAGTAAACTAATGCGAATTAAGGTCAAGATCTAGTAAATGACATTAGATTGTCTTTTTGGTGCTAGATCCATTATGACGTCATAATCAATTTCAATTTCTTTTTTCCCGTACTTTACGGCTCTAATAGAATTAGGTAGAAAATAAATATTTTCATGGAATTCAATTTGAAACATTTTGAAAAGTAATCCCGATACCTATATTCAATTTAATATTATTTTAAAGAAGAGGCTAAGAACATACAAATTACCGTTTTCTGAGAGACTGTAGGCAATCTGGATTCATTTCCTTTGTCTGATATGGAAAAAACTCCTGTATTCATGACTGGTTTTCTTAATTTTTCATTGAAAATGACAGTTTAAAATATGATTTTTCGTCATGTTTATCTACTAATTATGCCCCGAAACACGTTATTTGACCAAGCTATAGTTATAAAGCATCATTAAAGGAATTTATTTCTCAAATTTAAGAAATCTGTAGGCACCTTTCATTTACTAGATCTTGACCTTAAATTTTTATTTCTACAGTAAGGCTATTCACACTCGGCACACCTCGGCCGATTCGTACCTCATCAAACCTCGGCTGTATCATGTAAACCTCCATTGAACCGGAGCTACTTTATACCCAATATGGCTGCGCCCTACGTATACACGTGCACAGTGTGCTGAATTCGATCCGTTAACAAACATGTGATTATGTAAAGATACTAAGTGCATTTTTCTTGGTAAGTGTTATTCTTAGTGTTACCTAAATGCTTTTGAAAATTTTTGTCGTATATCAGATGCATGTTTATTATCGTTTTCAAAGCGTTTCGTTTTCCCTAAGCGGTAAACAGGCAGCCTTATCACAAATGTTAAGCGGAGACGCATATCGAACTTCCTCGTACAGCCGAGGTTTGATGAAGGTGACGGAATCAGCCGAGGTTTGCCGAATGAGGCTATTCAGTAAGGCTATTATGACGTCATTTTGCGAATCACGTCACATTGTGCCGAGCAGATCATATACATTTGACCACTGATTTGACATAATGTCATAGTGTCTGTACACATTTTAGTGATTATCATAGTTTTCCTTTGTTTTCCACTCAAAAGTAGCACAAGTACCCATATCTGACCATCGACATGTGGCCTGTGACTTAATTCTGCCCTTACGCATGCGTCAAAATTTAATTCGAATTAGCTTCGCTTAGCGTTCACACGGAGCTAATGCGAAGTAAATTTATGCGCAGTAAATTAATTCGAATTAAACTAATTCGCTTTAAATTCTCCGTGTGAACGCGGTTCAAATTTAATTCGCAGTTACTTACGTTTAATTCGAATTAAACTCTCCGTGTGAACAGGGCATTAAATTCTGCATCATATTTAAATTCTTACATTAAACTTGGACTCTACAGTGCAAATTGATGTACATTCAAATAAAACCTACGATTAAATTCCATCAAAAAGCATAAAGTGAGGATCTATATTTTGTGGCGGAAGATTTTTTTTAAGAAGAAAAAGATGAAATTTTCTCTTTCAAAGTATTTACAGTACTGTTAAGTTTGACTTCCTATTTTTCCATGCAGGCTACACACAGAGTTAGTTTTTGCAGTGAAATCTTTTACGCTGGTCCTGAAATATTTATTAAATTAACTTTTCTGAAATTTATCATCATATTCTGACAAATATAGTCTGAAAGTCCAGGGGGAAAAAGAGAGCCAATTTAAACTTTTTAGTAATATCTAAAAATTTACCTGATAGACCCCCGCTTTTGATTTTCTTTTTTGGAATATATAGGATAACTGACCATTCTGCTTAAAATCAGAAAAAGTTTAAGACTTTAAAATAGTTTTGACTTCGTGTTTGTTAAATTGTTAATACCAGAAAAATGACAGTTTGCGAGTGCAGAAAGATCAAATAATTGATTATGCGAAGTGATTTGAAACTTTTTCTTTGTCACAATTTTAATGTGTCTTTTTAAGATAGAATAAGAGTATATTTGGTCCAATGATTTATTTGGATAAAAATATTGGAGGAAAAACTTAGAAGTGGTTTATGTTTAAGACATAATTTCAGTGCAGAAAAAATCAAATTGAATATACCGTATCGCCAAAAGAAGCACATTGATCCCCCATTTTTAGTCCCCTACCGGTGAAACCGGAGGGGACTATAGGTTTCCTCCGAGTCTGTCCGTCCGTCCGTCTGTCTGTCTGTCTGTCTGTCTGTCCCTCTGTCTGTCAGTCTGTCCCACTTGGTTTTCCGCACTTTTTTCCTAAACGCTTGCAGATATTGAGCTGATTTTTGGCATGTGAGTGTATCTTGATGAGTTACAGATCAAGTTTGCATTTCGTTCCGCTTCATTGACTTTTGACGGAATTATGGCCTTTTCAATTTTTAAGGGTTTTCCGCAATTTTCTTCTGAACGCTTTCAGATATTGAGCTGATTTTTGGTATGTGACTTAACCTTGATTAGTTATAGATCAAGTTTGCATTTCGTTCCGCATCATTGATTTTTGACGAAGATATGACATTTTCAATTCTTAAGGGGAACCAGATTACACTTGCCGGTAGGGGACTAGTATTGCTAATGCAATACTCTCAGAATGCTTGTTTTGTTTTGATTTTTAATTTAGCTATGTGTATAGATACTAAAATTATACTTGACAAAAAATTCTTAAGACTTATGATATCAGGATCCAACCTCTTTAAAGCAATACCAAAAACAATTCCTTAAACAATGCCTAACTCATCGTCGCAAGCCACGGGTTTTGTGCCCTTTTGTAGAAATATAATAGACACAAAACCCGTGGCTTGCGACGATGTGCCGTAACTGTGCAGTTTTGGTTGTTACGCCCCCGTAATCGAAGATTCGGGGCATACAGTTTTTGCCCTGTCCGTCAGTCTATCTGTCTGTCCGAAAAAAAACTTTAACATCGCCCATAACTATTGATTGGTTGCAGCTATGGCTTTCATATTTCACTTGTGTATTCCTAACGACAAGACCTTTCTCTGGGTACCATCATATTTGACCTTGACCTTGGAGTTTGACCCAGTTTGCAAAATTTTACCCAACTTTAACCTTGGCCATAACTTTTTAACAATTGGTGCTAGGGCTTTCGTACTTCACATGTGTAATCCTTGTGACAAGACCTTCCTTTGGATACCAACAACTTTGACCCTTTGACCTTGACCTAGGAGTTTGACCTACTTTTTTGAGAAAGTTTAACCTTCGCTATAGTTGCCATAGAGGGGCATCAGTGCTTCACAAACACATCTTGTTTATTATTTGTTTTTGACCTTGCTTGTGTCATCATTAGCTACACGAAACATAGCACCCTCTAAACCGGAAAGGGATTTCCTGTTACGCGCTGGCTTTATATTTGTATTGATATAGAGTCAACCTCATTTATGCAATATGTTGTTATGCCCCCGTGACCGAAGATTTGGGGGTATATAGTTTTTACCCTGTCTGTCCGTCCGTCTGTCTGTCAGTCTGTTTGTTCGCAAAAACTTTAACCTTGTCCATAACTTTTGATTGTCCAGAGCTATGGCTTTCATATTTCACATGTGTATTCCTTGTGACAAGTCCTTCCTTTAGGTACCAATATATTTGACCTCTTTTCCTTGACCTTGGAGTTTGACCAACTTTTACAAAAATTTACCAAACTTCAACCTTGGCCATAACTTTTGAACAGTTCAAACTAGGGCTTTCAAATTTCAAAGGTATATTCCTTATGACAAGACCTTCCTTTGGATACCAACAATTTTGTCCTTTAGACCTTGACCTTGGAGTTTGACCTTCTTTTGAAAAATTGGAATCTTCGCCATAATTTTGAACAGTTGGTGCTAGGGCTTTTATATTTTGAATGAGTATTTCTTATGACAAGCTCTTCCCTGCGTGCCATTAACTCTTACCCATTGACCTTGACCTTGGGGTTTGACTCACCTTTAGAAAACATTAACCTTGACCATAACTTTTGAATGGTTGGTGCTTGGGCTTTCATATTTACCACGTTTATCCATTGACACAAGTCCTTTCTTTGGGTAACAACATTTTTGATCTCTTGACCTTGCTTTTTGACTTGCATTTGAGATCTTAATCTTTGCCATTAAATCTGCCATACGGGGACATCAGTGTTTCATAAACACACCCCGTTAAAATGACACTTGTAATAAAAAAAAATCCTAGAGAAGGGGGGGGGGTCGGGACCCCCCCCCCCCTAAAACCCCCTCAATCCGCCACTGATGTATTACAAGTGTTACTTTTGGCTTTATAATTTCAAGTGACTGAACTTGAGAAACTACTCAAACCAAAGTTGAAAGTATTAATGTTAACAAGACCAGAAAGCTTTTTTCTTCATCAATTATGATAATTCTTATAAAATTCATATAAAATATTTAGTATAAAAAAAGGAGTTTCCTTGTTCCCTCATTTTTTAAATAAACTATGAACGACTTAACAATTTCAATGCAATAATAGAGGAAAATTCGAACTAAAAATTTCATTCTTAAAAGCAAAAAGAAATAGAAAAAAATTAGTCTTGAATGAACTGAATAAAATGTTATTGATACGTTAATAATTTGACTTTTAATTACTACATTCAAAAAATACCACAATAAATTCAACACATTGAAGGAAAAGAAAATTTACTCGAAATAATGAATGAACGACTTATTTAATTCCACGCCAATTAGAGGAAATTCGAACACAAAATGGAAGTTACAAAACGAAGGAGCAAAAAGAACAGAAAAACAAAGAAAATTCTTGTCTTCAATGAACAGAATAGAATGTAATTGATATTTTTGAATCAATGGTTTAAAAACTGACACCATAATTTCAACAAACGATTGAAGAAAAGCGGCATATTTGAAATTATGTAGCGTGCTTGTTAATTATTCAATTACAATATCATATGGAACAAAGGCCATTAACATGATGAATATACAATATTGTATGTGACAAGACATGTCTTGATCCTAATAGCTGGTACTTGATAAAGTGAGAATTTTTTTTGTGCTGTGTAAATTTGTTTTAATTTTAATGCTATAAATATTATTAAATTTCTTTTAACATTTTGGCTCATTTTAAATGCATTTTGTAAAATTGATGCTGTCTTAAAAAATCAGTTTTATCTTAGGATTTTACAACAGAACAGTCTGTTTTTCACGTGCTGTGGCATGAAAATTAGCATATAAAGGTATTAATACATTTTATAAATCAATATTCATTTAGTAAAATAATCATAAAAAAGAATATTAAAGCTTCAAAAATTTCACACAAAGACTTTTTAGAAATAGCTCCCATCTTAATTAACATTTGAACAAGTAATGGTAAGGAAAAGGGAAACTGTATGGACAATTGAAAAAAAAAACAACTAATATTCTCTTGGTACCTAGAAAGAACAAGGAGTTGGCTACATGCAATGTAAAAGTTAGAAAATCCTTAAATATAAGCTAAGTATTTACAGAATACTTGAAAATTGCCGAATTAATACTGACTTACACAGTTTGCAAGTGCTTGTGAATGCATGGCAAAAATTACATTTACACACCAGGAGTAAAATTTGCAAATACATACAGTCAAACCTTGTTATCGAGAACTTGATGGGACTGATTAAAAACTTCGAGATATTCAAGTATTTGAGGTATCAAAGTCATAATATGTAAAGAATAAGTAGTTGGGACTTCCAAATCACTTTGACATATCCATGGTATTTGAGATATCAGTGTTCGAGATACCGAAGTTCAACTGAATTTGAAATTTACATGTGAACAGGGCTACAGTGTATAGTCTCTCATGTATCTAAACATATAGAATGTGTCAATCTTGAATTTAAAAGAAGAACAGATGGAAATCTACTGACTCTAGTATATATGACTAATAATTTTTTTTTTTTATGATACAGAGAATATTTGACTGGATTTCGGAAGAGAAAAAAAGAAAGACAACAACATGCTAAAGAAGAAAGAGAAAATAGACTGAAAGAAGACAAGAGGGCTCTAAAACAACAGGTAATATACTATGCTAAAGATAAGCATACTGGAAAGCAAAACTACTGTTGAGTATTATTATCTATGCAAGATACTTTACAACATGCATCATTACAACATGAGGGGTCCCGAGTCAAGACGTTGCCGTTGTACCCCTGACAAATTTCATTCGATATCTTCGGGCTTGTTTCTCTCATTGAGAAACACCAATCAAATTGAAGTAGACAGATAATGTAAACAGAAAGGAATCGGTTGACACCTCAAATGCACATGTTACGCATTGTTAATCACTGAAAGGCTTAATGTGATTGGTTGATCAGAGATGAGAAAAACAATCAAGATTTGTAATGTTACCGAAAGACATCACTGCAGTCAGCCTGCAAGATATTGAATGAAATTTGTTGGGGTCCAATGGCAACACGTTGACTCAGGACCCCTGATGTTGTGAGGATGTACAACATGATGTACAGAAAAGACCCTCTTATATGCAGTAGAAGCCAGCATTCCATTGTTTCCCATATTTTAATCTTTAGAAAGAATAGAATAGCTCTTGAGTTATTATTTCTTGGTACTGTTTTTATGTTTCCTTGTTTTATATAAATGTTTTGTAAGTGTAATGAGTTCTTTTGGATTTTGTAGAGTTGAGAAGGAAAACAATATCAATCAGAATAAACAAAAAAAAATTATTTACACAAATAAATAAAATAGAAAACAAATAAATTCTATGTCACTCACTCACTTTCACATACAGGCTCACACACTGAAAATGAAATAAATGTAATAGTAAACTGTTAACTCAGTTTTCACCAATTCCGATACTTTACAATGATTCAATATTAACTTCTACAATTCTGATTCAGTAAGTATCAGATATTATATCAAATGAAAAATTCACCAAAATTGACTTAAATAATATTCCGAAAAAGCTCAAATATTTTTTATAAATAATTATATATATACTTCAATTTCTTTTTCTTAAACAGCTGAAAGTTACTCAATAGTTACTATATCACAACTGCTTATAAACGTTCAACGGAAGTCACACCACACGTGCATCCGCCATTAGCACTTATCTAGGAACGCCTAAGTCCTGTACTGTTCACTCGTCACCACGTGGTAGTTGCTTTAACCGTAGCCCCGGGTCTATCGCCTCCCACTGTGGTTGTCCTACCAACATCGGTTCCTGTTCAGCATCGACGATTGGACATGACACGACTGGCCCTCCATCCAACGCTCCCCACTGACCTCAAACGCTTATAACAGTCGTCAACTGACCCTCAGCCCGTCTTCTATGTGCACAATATTCTCTCAGCACCTTACGCACTGAAATGAATTTACGTTTACAAAAACCTAACCTATATTACAACTGAAAACCGGAAATTATAACAATAAACCAACTATTTACATTATTCGAACACTCTTACCGGCTAGAACTGCATACACACGCTGCAATAGTCCTCCTAACAAGTTATATGGCTACCCGTTAAATTCGGTGCTATATCTCACCGAAATATATTCGCCACTTGTATAATCATGCAGGGATACAGCAAACGTGGCACATCTCCGGCTGGTCACGCTACCGGACACCAAACTAGATCTGACCACTCCGACAAAACCGGTCCCTTTATATACTCGTAACAAAACAACCCCAACAGTATGGAAACCCGTTATAACAACATTTAAACAATATATACAAAAAAAAAAAATCAACTTCGTCACAGTAAGTAACAAATTATTTTATATATATTGATTTACAGAGGAAAGAATTGTTGTTGAAAAGTCAGAAATATGCAGGTAAGAGAAAGTCAAAGATGTCAGCATTGGATGATATTGAGGATGTGGAAACTTCAGTGGTGGATCTACCTGCTCATACAGTTACTTTGACAGATATCTCGGAAATAGATCTAGCAGGGCATAGTGGACTGCGACTAGGTGTAAACAAGGTAAACATTTTTTATATAGTTGTGAGAGTGTATTGACTTTTGTATTCACTTCTAGTACTTAGGCACATTGTTAACAGTAACTTGAACAGTAAAATTTTACATAAACTTGTTTGGAGTGAATTTATGCTAAGTGTTTTAAAAGTTAAAGCGATTTGGTCTGTAATTTTGTATATTTGCAACTTTCTGTGTCAGAAAATTTTCATAAATTTGACACCTACATTGAGTTATTATGCATTGCAAGTGCATGTTGGTCAGCAAAAAAATTCAGAGTATCTTTAAAATACCTTGGATGAGCACACATGTGACAATGAATAGGTGAAGTTTGCTGAACAATCACACATTTGTGTTGCATGAAACCTGTTTTAAATTCTATTTGTATTCATTTTTCCCCCTGTATATGATATTTGTTCATGCTCACTTGTTATGGTTATCATGTGCCTAGAGTTGTGAAGGTCACCAAACAGCATTTTAATTGACTCTGTTTTTCCCTTTTTCTCACGAAAACTGAGGTTTCAAATTATGTTTTTAAATGGCGAAAACAAATTATAGTACATTGTAAATTATGCTAATTTTCTTAACAGCAACCCCTCCCCCCCAAAAATCCACAAAGTTACACACTGGGACTATATGAATTTTAAACGCAATTTTAATTTCATAAGGAGAATAAAACTAGGAGTTATCAAAATGGTGTAGAGGTTTAATTGATTGTTTATGAATTATACATTTTATTCAGTGATTATTACATTCCCCTGCTTGAAAAGCAGGGGTATATAATAATGGGGGTGACCGTCCATGTGTCCTTCTCTCCTGTTGTCCATACGCCTGTAAAACTTTGGGATACCCATCTCTTAACCACAATTCCTCCCATACCACTGAATAAAATTTTTTTATTTTTGATTTAATTGCAAATGACAGTTGCATATTTTGCATAATCCAGTATTGGTGATCATGTTTCAATTGGAGGACAAAAATTTGTAGGCTGAGGAAAATGAAGAGAAAAATGAAGATGGCAGCTTGGGCAAATTAAGTGAAGAGAAACTGAAGAATTCTCTAAAGAAGCTTAGAAAAAGGTATGATATATTGAAAAAAAATTCTAAATTGATGAAACCAGCATAATCATATCCTGTAATTCCCTCTCTCTCTTATTGTCATGACCTTGATGTAAGGTCATGGAGAGGCATTATAGTTTAGTACAAATGTAGTATGTACAAACAGTGGAATTCTGAGTTGGATCTGCATACTGGTCAAACAGTCCTGTAGTCTGCCACAATTCCTTATTAGCATCAGTAACGGTGGTGGGTAACATATAATATGATTAAGTCTTAGTACAGTACAGAGAATTCAATTGCATCTTTTTCTCACCAAAATTTAATGGATTCTTTAATAATACATCTGTGTTGAAACTTATTTAACAAGTTTAAATAAATTTATTAAGAATACTGTCATTATGTAAATATGAAGCTAAATTCATACATTTAGAGAGATTTCTTGTGATTTTGCAGACAGGGAGAAATAGACTCGCGCATTCATCCATCAAAGAAAACAAGGTTTCAGAAGACCCATCCAAAGCAGTATGACAAAAAGTCATTGAAGAAGAGGAAAGAAAAATTTTCTCATAAAAAACAGAAAAAGAAAATAAAACCTAGAAATTAATAAATTTTGTTTCAAAAAGTGACATTGTTGACATTATCATTTGTGTATACGAAGGTTGTCCATAAAGTTCGCGGACAATGACGTTTTTTGTCAAACTGAATGGTCCTAGATATACTTATTGTATACCAAAATATTTGTTATGAAATCCAAGTCAGTATGGTTTCGTTTTGGTTGTTTAAACATTATATTTGTAAAAATGTCTTTAAAGGTCGCAGATAGTGCGCACGGCCCAGGGTTAAAATGTAATATACTTTGAAATAAAGTTTTCGGGTTAAAATGATTATTTTCTTCCTAAAACGAGCTAATTAAATGTTTCTCAAATATTTGTGATTTTCCGGTATCTTTAGTATCGCTTATTGTACAGATAGTGAAAATAATCAGAAAAAATTACAAGATCTGCATGGAACAGCATCCCATTATAATCATAATTTTATGTTTTATATGGTTGGAATGACCTCAGAGACAAACTAATTATTTAAATTACTGAAACAAGTTAGAATATATTCAGTTCATTGATTTGGAATTGGTGTATTCTTTTTTTCAACGGTGTGTACAATTTAGGAGACACTACAGAAGTGGAAAACTACTGTTATGTGCTGAAAATAGGATATCCTTATTTATGAAGTTGTAATAAATCTAGCACAAAATATGTCAGAAAGCTTTCCATTAATTTTCATCTTTTCTGGCTCAGTAGCTTAGAGAATTAAGTTTTTAGCTCACCTGAGCCGAAGGCTCAAGTGAGCTTTTCTGATCACATTTTGTCGGTAGTCCGTCCGTCTGTAAACTTTTCACATTTTCGACTTCTTCTCCAGAACCACTGGGCCAATTTCAACCAAACTTGCCACAAAGTATCCTTGGGTAAAGGGGATTCAAGTTTGTTCAAATGAAGGGCCACGCCTTCTTCCAAGGGGAGATAATTATGAATTCGTGAAAAATTAATGGCATCATTAAAAAATCTTCTCAAGAACCACTGTGCCTGAAAATATGAAACTTATGTGGAAGCATCCTCAGGAAGTGTAGATTCAAGTTTGTTCAAATCATGACCCCTGGGGGTCGGGTGGGGCCACAATGGGTGATCAAAGTTTTACATAGGAATATATAGGAAAAACTTAAAAATCTTCTTCTCAAGAACAGCAAAGCTATGATTAGTCATATTTACATGGAAGCATCCTCAGGTAATGTAGATTCAAATTTGTTCAATTCATGCCTTCCCCCCCCCCCCCCCCCCCCCCCGCAATCCACTTTTATATTTAAACTTTTCAACCTTTCAAGACTGAACTGATTTCTGCTTTTTCCTAGCCATAGTGCTCAGGTGAGCGACGTGGCCCCTGGGCCTCTTGTTAAATTATCAGCTTTTTTTTGGTCTTTCCTTGATTATCTCCCTTTAGAAGAGGATTGGCCCTTCATTTGAAAATAACTTTGAATCCTCTTTAACCAAAGATACTTTGTGCCAATTTTAGTTAAATTTGGCTGATTAGCTGTAACGCACAAGAGAGAAGATGGTGGGGGGGGGGGGGGGGGGGGGGAGGGGTAAAAATTAGCAGGAGCCAGTGGACCTTAAACATCACATGAGTATCATGCAGCGACTTCCTATCCAGATAAGTTTATGAGGCTTAAATGCATCTTGTAACCTGTAAAAAATTGATGGTACCATACCACCTACAGACAGGATTGCTGTCAGTTAAGATGGGTAGAGTTACTTGCCAACAGACCATTTGAAATGAATTATACAAAAAGCAGAATGAAACTTAGGAGAAAGAAAAAGCTTGCAAACATACATGAATGATTGTGACCTTTCTTAACTAATTTTGACCTCGTAGCATTATGGAATGTCAAATGAACATAAAGTCAAATAGATTAATTAATTAAGTATATTAATTGAATTAATTTTAATATTTTGAATTATTGCTCTCTTCCTTTGAGTTATTGCGCATAACAATTCATTTTATGCGCACAAGGCTCTCTTGAATTATGATATTTAAAAAAACAAAAACGGGTGAGAAAACAACCATTTTAAAAATTAGTGATATCTTCAATTAAATGTTTTACGAACCCTTTCTAAGGCAAGACAGGCAAATAAGTTAATGATACAAGGGTCAACATTTCGGAAATTCTATTATTGATATAATACTTAGCTTGTTTGCTTATACAACTTGTCGTTAGGTTGAATAAAAAAGATGCTGGGTCATTATATTTATACTAAATGTCACTCGATACAAACTCCAAGGTCAATGTCAAATGGTCAAAATTGTTGATACCCAAGGGAAGGTGGTGTCGCAAGGAATACATATGTGAAATATGAAAGCACTAGCACAAACTGTTCAAAAGTTATGGCCAAGGTTAAAGTTTTTCAAACGTAGGTCAAGGTCAAAGTGTCAAAATAATTGGTACCCAAGGGAAGGTCTTGTTAAAAGGAATGCACTTATGAAATATGAAATTCCTCTTACTAAACATTCAAAAGTTATGGACAAGCATGTGGTTTTCAAAAGTAAATCAAAATCAAAGGTAAAGGTCAAAAGGTCAAAACAGTTTGTACCCAAGGGAAGGTCTTTTCACAGGGAATACACACGTATATATAAAAGCACTAGCTCCAACCATTCAAAACTTATTGCCAAGGTTAGAATTCTGGGAACCAGAGTGGGTTTTTTTTGTAGAAAAAAACGTCATTTTTGGTCCACCATTTGACCCTAATGGTGAAAATGAAAATTCAGAGACCTTACTGCATATCCACAGGACATCAACAATCATCTTTCAAAAGTTAACAAGGATTTTTTTTGTTGGAAAAAAACGTCGTTTTACGACTCCAATTTGATCTACAAGATGAAGATGAAAATTCCGTATCTACAGTACACCACAATTCATCTTCCAAAAGATGATTTGGCGACTGCATTTATTGTAAGAAGAGTTCAGAGAACCAGGTTTTTCGTAGAAAAACGTCATTTTTCGACCCACATTTGACCCCCAGGGTGAAAATTAAATTGCACATCTTCAGGACACCAGCAATCATCTCCTAAAAGATGATTTGGCTGCTGCTTAAAATGTAAGAAGAGTTCAGGGAACTAGGTTTTCTTGTAGAAAAAAAGTCATTTTCGACCTTCATTTGACCCACCAGGGTGAAAATAAAAATTCCGAAACCTTATTGCACATCTTCAGGACACCAGTAATCATCTTCCAAAAGATGATTTGGCTACTGCATAAAATGTAAGAGGAGTTCTGGAAACCATGTTTATTTAGAATATCATTTTCGACCCCCATTTGACTCCCGGGGTGAAAATTAAAATTCCGAACCTTATTGCACATCTACAGGACATCACCAATCATCTTCCAAAAGATAATTTGTTTACTGGGTAAAATGTAAAGAGGAGTTCAGGGAACCTTTTTTACGTCATTTTGCCCCCCCCCCCTCCCCCCCGTTTGGCCCCAAGGGTAAAATTGAAAATTCCAATACCTTACTGCACATCTAAAGGACACCATCTATTGTATTACAAAAGATTAATTGGCTACTACTTAAAATAAAGAGGAGTTTGAGGGAGAAGAAAGTGTGACAGACGGACGGACGACCAGAGTAACAACAATATATTAAACGAACTTTCTTTAGAAAGTGCGGATATAATCAGAGTTTAACAGTTACGAATGCTTTGAAGAAGGAACGCAATTCCTCTTTTCCGCGATTCAACACTGCTTTTCCGCGAAAAAATCCTGTGTTACCGCGACAAGTAATACTGTTTTACCGCGAATATATTTTTTGCCTTTCCGCGATTTAGTTTAATTAACATGTACCTCTTCCGTTAGCCAGGTAAAACATATTGCTTATCATCATGTGGCAATTGTATATATCGTTTGTAATTGTTGTAATGCATATTTTATCTACGCTGCATTGGTAAGACACATCGCCATTCCTTATGTAAGGGTTTGGGCCGTGGATATATGCACCTGACTAGTGATGCAGGGGTCCCGGGTTCGATTCCCAGTCCAGCCATACATTTTCCCTTTCCTTTTACATAATTATCATCCCACTGTGAGTTAGTACTCACTACGGAGTAGAACTCTATTGGGGAAATACAAGTAAATATCAGCAACCGTTTGATGCTAAACGCTAACCATGGCGATTTAAAAAATCGCGGAAAGGAGGTATCAAAAAAAGGAGATGACTCATAATATACGAGGGTTTTCCCAGAAAAACGCGAACTTTTTGAATATTTCAAAACCTATTCGATCAAAATACATAATTTTTTGCACTTTGTTGGGAAATGAAAATTTTGCTTTTCTGACAAAATATTATATTGTTGTAATGTCATACCGGTATGCATGCAAAAATAGCTTTGAAAGGGTATCAAATATCGGTGCTCGGCGCACGGCAAATTTTTTGAGTTTTAGAAATAGCATTGTCAGTGAAGTGTTCTTTATTACCAGGGTCTACGGAAATATAATGTGAAAAAATTTTACCCCCATAAAACTCTTATTATCTGAAGACTCATGTGTAAAAACTCATTATGTTAGCATCACAAATGACAAAAATATGACGTTAGATGCAAAAACACTTTTACTTAGATATTGTCAAAAATAGTGACGTCGGGCGATAATGCGGAGCACCAAATTATCAAGCAGTACTGTTGAGCGAGATATGGCCCCTGTCCATACGGGAAAAGATATGTAAACGATGGAACGACACAAACATATATCTCGGACACAGATTTAGATCATAAATAACAATGACATGTTTGAAAAAAAGAACATGATCACGAGGTTTGAGGATGGCTTGACTGGTTATTCAATGGATGAGCGTTTGGTTGACCAATAAACTGAAAAGCCAGAAGCTGGACGTCATATTTGGCGACGGCCGTTTAACTAAGCGAGCAGTTAAAATGTAAACATGACCGGGGTTGGGAAATTGTTAAAGTTTATTAAAAGAGTTAAATCCGCAGTCTTTTAGAAAGGCTAATTCATATCTGAGATGGATAACTTGGTCAAAAGAAAATTAAATACAGTATTGAATTTATGCTTCAAACGAATTTTATC